GGCAAATGAAAAACAAGATAATAAGCAGAATCCAGTTGCTAATAAAAAATATCGCTGTATTCAAATCACATAAACCGTTCTCACTCCATGTTCCAATCAGTCACACAGGCCTCCCCGGCTTCACAATGACACAATACGCCTTCATTTATTACAGCTTCTCATCCTTTGCCCGCTGACTATGTTAATTACAGCACAGGCTTGTATTTCAGAGATCACAGACAGGGCTGTAATTTACAAAAGGGTTCCAGGTCAAAATTATTGGATCCCCTGATTTTAGTAAAGATAAACAAAGTTCATTTGCATTTATTTCTGAAGAAATGAATGAATGAAGAATCATTTTGACCAGGACTGTAGAGCATAAGAGGGCAGCAACTCAGCAGGGACCGAAGAGTGCATCACAGACTTGCATGTTTGACACAGTGCCAAAGGGGCATTCCTACATGTATGATGATGAGAGAGCAAAGTGTGTCAGGAGCAGCCAGTGGCCTCACATAAACCAGCATATAAATAATCCATGTGAAATCTGGCGAAGCGTGTGTAGAAACGGACTGGGTGAGGCTCTCCACACCTTTGTGAGGCTGTTGAAGTGACTAAAACAAAAGACAACAAAGAGTCCCAGATGAAGGAATGAAGCTGGAAGAACTGAACAGAACAATAAGGAAAAATGTAATAAAAGCCAAAGACCACAGATGGGGCTTATAATAAATACAAGTGATTTAAAATGTGACTGTGAATCAGAAATACAATTATCCGGGAAATATAGGGACAGTCAGAAGGACCCTGCGAGATCATGAGTTGAAGTAGGTCATTACGCACCAGCACATGGAAAGACTGCAAAGTAATCAATTAAACTTTAAGGTCACTTTCAAAACAAAGACCCAACTAGTGAAGTGACACTGAAAAGAGAAATGGTTATGTCCGTTATTTTTGGTTACAGGCCTGCTGCAGCATTTCAGCACAGTAGAGCCTGTTCACAGTAAAAGCAGGTAAACAGCAGTAGTCAAGTTAAGGAAAGATAAATACATGTGTGTCTCACTGAAATGCAAAACACTTACAGCTGCAGCAATTTGCCTGAGATGAAACAAATGTGATTGATATATAAGATTTTATATAAGATTTTACACTTACACTTAAATTCTGTCTTGAAGCAGGTTTAATATATTGTAATAACAGTTTGGACACAGGTGGAATTTACCTACTAAGGCCTATGATAAAGATTTTACTATTGTTTGAATTTCACTTTTTATTTATTAAAATTATTACTTTAAAACAATTTGATATGCTCGAAAACACTTAATACACTCAATCATACAATCATATGATCATACCGCTCTTACACCATCTGATAGGAATTTCATTTTACTATTTAAACCATTAAGTGTATTTTTGCACATTTAAGTCCCTACATGTAGAATAGATGTAAAGTTTGGTACATGAAACAGATATATACTAATATATTGTGCTTCTCATTTCTCTAATGTGATATCATAATTATGCAAATAAAGACCAATAATGAAAGATTTACGTAATGTTAAATTTGAAACCTCCAAATATAAATTTCATGACTGCACATCCGGTTTTGAGATCTGCATAATCACTGCCACTCAAATGAATCAGTTATCCTTACGAGTATGACATGTTATTCATTTGATACAACCCTAAAGAAAAAATAGCTACAAAACCAATTTGTGATAGTGATGATTTAACCTTATTCATACAGACTAATTGCTCTCATCATGTGGTGATTACACCAACTGCCCCACTCCAGGACACTGGCAAGGGCCAATTAGCCGTTGTCTTGAGGCCTCTCTCCACTGCTCATCCTCCCTGACTGTGTTATGGCCCACACTTATATTTCCAAACCGAGTAAGCCCAGCCCGTCTGCTTTTTCTTTGTTGGCTGGCCAAATGGAATACAATCTTCATGAATAAACAACGATGTTGTGGCTTTATAATGCTTTTGTAGAATAACAAGAATGATAATACGGACAAACAAACAATGTAAGTCTGTGTTTTCTCCGCGGGGTTTCTCTCTCTGTTCTTTTAGTTTTTCAAGCCAGATGAAGGAATAATGTATCAGCTGCAACAGGGAAATCTTCCTGCACTGAGCAGAGATCCTAACATTGCTCAGCTGTAAAAGTAAAGTCGCATTACATTTAATAATAGAAGAGGCTGCTGTGTGTGTGTGTGTGTGTGGGGGGGGGGGGGGGGGGGCTGCCACAGCACACAAACCTCTGAGTGCACAGCCCCCCCCCCATAGCCAGCATAGTGACAGACACAGAGGCACTCAACTGGAAGCAAAGAAATGAAGGAAGAGAGGCTTGCATGGGAAGGAATGGAGAGACTTAGAGGTGAGAAAATGAAGGAGTGAGGAGGGAAAGGGGGAGGGTAGAAAGATAAAAGGGAGCGGATGCAGAAAAGAAACTGCAAATGGAAGGAGTGGTGTGGCTAGAGAAATCCAGGATGGAGGCATTGAAGGATGAAAGTTTTGCAAGGACTGGGTGTTAAGCTCGCTGGTCAGGGAGAGACTGATTTTAGAAACTAAAATCTGTCCAATCATTTGATTTACGGATCGTCCTGTAGAAGATCCTCTATCAACTGAAGCAAGTCTATATCACAATATATAATAAAAACAGGATTTATTAAATGTATGCATTCCAGCCTTTTTGTCTTTCGGTAAATTGAGGCTTTAGGCTTTCTTTCCAAATACAGAAACACATTTTTAGAGGTCAGCAGATATGAAAAAAGTTGGTCCTGCCGGCTCTTGCTACTCAGGTGCAGGCTTATTCACTGAAGGCACAGAGCCATGAAATAGACTGAAACACCAGTCAGCCCTGCAGAAACACAGATGCATCACTAAAGAATATGTGAGGCATTCAATAAACAAACACTGCAGCATTTTCAAACAGGCAAAACACATCTCATAGCACTTGTGTTTATGATGTGTTTAAATTCAAAACTATGTTAATTGAGCATCAGCCATGAGAAATCAATATGGCCTGATACCGGCACTGGCGGTGGGTATCACAGAGTTTAACACAAGGGAAAATGATCTAATACTAAAATCGAAAACTAAGGAATATCCTGTGACACTAAAAAAAGACAAACTGATACCCCTTCTCAGTCTGACCTCAGAATGAGATATCTCACTAACAGAAAAAAATGAACTGTTTAGGTTAGATTCTCTAACATAGTGAGGGGGAGAGTTGAATAAATAAACACAGTGAAGATTGCGTTTCATCCTAAAAAACACTCCCAAAGAGTATTCAACTCTGGATGCAATATGCAGCCAGCAAGCAGTATACCAGAAGAGGTGATGACGGGCAGAAAGATGCAGTCTATTACTCATGCTTGAGGGTCAAACAACACAACCTCAGGGCTTTGCTAAGGAAACAGGACGTCCTGCGAGTCCCCAGAGGAAAACTGTCTCATGTTCACCAGGAATGGATCAATAGTGTGCATGACTTAAATTGACAGAAAATGTCACTCTGCCATCAAAGGTCACACAGCTCTAAAAACCTTGTTGAGGTGCAGTTAATCACTGAATGTCAAACAGTGGTAAAAAAAAAAAAAAATCATAATCATCATAAACTGAAGGCACAGCTGCAGGAGCTGCAGACAGCAGCAACTGTCATAAAAAGTGACATTATGAAATAAGACTTGAATGTCATGAAAGTGTAATGAAACAGTTTGAAATAAAAGTATGACACTTAAAAAAAGGATTCTGGAAATCTTTTATTTCAGAATCCTTTTTATTCTGTACTATTATGAAATAAAAATGAACTCCAATAAAACTCCCTGATGATGAAATTGCATTTAATAATACAGGCCCAATGATCTAAGTTTTAATCATTTATTTAATCATTTAATACGTATGTACTTTATATTTTTTGTATACATATACAAACATTTATATTTATATATATAAATATATAAAATAATGTGTTGGCTAATGTCACTTGAGGGCTCTTTATCTAGAAGTAATATATATATATATATATATGGACCTATGAATGTAACTTATCTTTTATTTAGACATAAAACTGTGAACTTCAACATGCAGATATGAGAATTTGTAAAGAGTGAAACATTACTCAGCCATACTTATTGAAAAAGAGGTGAAAAAGGGCCACATGTGACACATCTGCAGAAACACATTATGGAAAACACAAGGATTTTTTTCTTCAATAAAATGCAAATTTGAAAAAAAACAAAAAACTTCACAGCTGACTTGTAAAGACCATGATTGGAATGGCGACTCGTGCAGTCAAACTTTTGGATGTCACAGTGCAGTGTGGGAGTAAAGATGCACAAAGGGACGACAACAAAGACTTCTGCCACGCAACAACCAACACATTATCGAGTGACTTCATGCGTCGAGAGCGATGTGTTTATTAATAATTAGCCTCATCAAAAATACAGCGTTTCAAACAACACAAGCGCCTATGTAGCGAAACTGGACTCACTGCAATGCTAAGCAGTAGCTACACAAACGATCCCTGCGCGGGACAGCTCATTAAAAACTTAATCAAGACCGCGATACTGTCTCAGCTCCAGCGGTTTGAATTGAGCAGCAACTACCGTACACCACAGTCACATAATAACAACCATTCTACATGAACATATCAGTGGCCAAACCCCCGGGTTGTAGCATGCAGAGAGTACAGTACCTTGGCTGTCGTCTTCAGTCCGGCGGCTGGGAGTGAATGAGTTGATGATGATGTGATGCTGAGTACAGTGGTGATGAATGGATGCTGCGCTGCCTAGCAACCAAACCCCCAATGAAATAAACGCAAGGAAATCTGACTAAGAAAATATGCACAACTCATAAGATGTATTTAATTAATAACTGAAGGTTAGTCTCAGGCTCAGGTTGTACTGATTCTATTCATGATTCAGTGATGTTGAAGTAACTTGCTTCCATGTAACTTCCTTACGTTTACATAAAAGTGTGATGTGTACAGTATAATTGGGTTAGTAAAAGATCAACACAAAATGATATCAGATTTTAATTCTTTATTTGTTGTATTTGTGCGACTGTAGCTCAATATTGATCAGCAGTTCCATAACACTTTGACTGAGGGAGAAATCAGAGTGTCTGTCAGTCTTGTACCACATGTTTAACTGAATTGCATGCTATCCAGACAGCAGATAATTCTACAGCACCCTCTAGTGAATTCACTGGGTAAGTGGGTCACTACGTGGAACAGGATTGCTTAGCTCTGTAGAAGGAGATGTTGAGCACCCTCTTGGCAACAAAGAAACCCTGCTATATGAGACAAATCCTCAATCTATCTCAAGTGTTCACCAGGCCTAAAATATGAAATCCTATCAGTCACTGAGGAGAGCACAGCTCTCATCGTATGTGAGACATCTCCTCCAGAAAAGGTGTCTTCATGCAGCCTGTGCAAAGCTGATCCATCCACAGAGGAGCCTCGTGCTGCAGAGGGGTGCGGCGGGGGTAGAAAGTGTACGAGAGGTCATAGTTCAAAAGACAGCTCAGGGAGGCCATGTAGACATCTGAGAAACGACACAGACGTCTGGAGAAGTAGGTGGGGTTGTGGCATGTTCTGAAGATGCTGCCAAACTGAGGGTTGAACAAGTTCTTTGTCATTACCCTGAGACAGAAAGATTTAGGGTGAAAGTTAATATGATTTTAAGTATGACTGCAGTCATATACCTAGTGATGGAGATCTTTTAGTTAAGTAACAGCAGCAACAACACAAAGTTAACAAGTTAATGTCTTGGATTCAAGAGTAAATAATGCCAGCAGAATGGCCTCTGACTGCATTATTATATGTTCTTCAACTATCATTACTGATGCATGAACATGTAAACAGCATTTGAATGTTGCAGCTGGTCGAGGTGAAGTTAATTCTAACTGTTTTATATACAGTTGGGTAGTTTAATTTAATCAAACAGCATAAATACTTTATGCTCATTATAGGCCTGTAGGATAAACTCTTAGTCCACAGTGTAACAAGTAACTATAGCTGTCAAATAAATATGGAGGAGTCAAAGTACAAAGTAACAAAGTAAAGCTCGAGTAAAGTACGAGCACCTAAGAACTTTACTTAAGCCGAGTGCTTAATGAATGTTCCACAGTATATACATGATAACAGCAGGGTCACTGGGTTCACTGGGAGGTGCTGAAGATTGAGTGAGAGATTAACATAATAGATCAGTTTGTTTTCAACTGCAGCTGACTTGAGGGTCAACGAAACTGCCCATGACTGGACGGGGTGGAGTATAAAAAGACTGCCGTCAAGTTGGACACATTCTATTTCCCGTTGCGTCAGAGAGGTCACAACAATGGTTGATCTTGCAGAAAGAAATCTAACATATAAAAATATGACCCACAAAGGCATTACTTATTTTACAACAACAAACTCCTGAACTAAACTGTTTTTACAGCTCTCTTGGTGGTAATTAAAATTATAGTGTCGGTGCCCTTAAGTAAAAAACAAGCTGCCACAAGGAGGAGATCAAATAAATTGCATCCCCTTGGGAGAGATAAAGGATCTGAAGTGCTTTGAATAAAAATGTAGAACACATCATGCATGTCAATGAAGCCGTAAGTCAATCAGGGCAACATCCTGTCATCACAGAGGTGCTTCTGACAGCAACGCCCGACTCAGAAAACTCCATCCGTCTTACTCCCATGAGGTTTTAATGTCATGTGACATGGTGACGCTCTGCCACGCAGGCCAAAATCGGACAAAACATCTAACCAGCATGCATTGTTTTAAGTCCAGCACACATCATGATAAGTCAGAGGTGCGCATTAAGTGGAAGGCACCTCATGACACTCACCTGAGTTCTTCTCTTTCTTTCTGCCATTCCTGAAAAACTTGTTTAGAGTCCAGGTCCCGATGTGTCTAAGATAATGAAAAAAACAACACTATGAACACATCAAGAGCTACTGCACTACACTCAGATTTAATGGAAAACCTAGTATTTATTCATACATATACAAAGAATAATCTGATCCTCACTTTAAAAGGTGTGAACACACAGTTTGTAGTCTTTGGTGTAAACAACAGTGAAAGGTTGTTTTTGCTGTATTTTTGTACTTTGTTCAATCACACGACCCAGTTACAGGCCAACAGAGGCTTGTAAACATGAGTTACATGGACTCAGAAGCAGTTTAGTAAATGGATCATTTTTGACATCCTGTTGTGTCAACATGTCATCATACCAGTAAAGAGCCAGATTACAAATAGCTGGAACCAAACATCAGTGCAGATTGTGCTTTGCCGTCAGTTCATGTAGCAATCTTAGGTTTAGCAAACATGAGTAACTGCAGGTCAACAACAGTCTTTTACCCTGAACACATTTGGATTGGTGTTGGTTAAAACTCTGACAATTCTTTTTTGCTGTGTCATCATTGTTATTATTATTTTTTTTTTTGCCCATGATAAAAACTCTGAACAATCCTGGGCTTAACTCCTCACCTGTAGACGCTCCATCAGGCCGGTCAGAGCCTGCAGCCAGGTGAGGTTCTGAGCATACCGGTCTGTGCTCACCACTTTGGTTTCCTGCTCCAGCTCAGGTACTATGGCTGCCGTACGCCAGCCATGTCGCAACATCAGGTCCTGCAATAAAGTGTGAAACGTGTTTACATGTGCTTAAGTAACCAGGTTACAGTCAACTTTCTCCTGTCAGCCGATTTCTAAAAAGAAATCCTTGCTAGATTTTCATGCGTACAATTAACCCGGTTTCTAACTGGCTTTTTACAAGTTTGCATGTGCATAACAAAAGATTCCAGACAGACCAAGTAGCACAGCATCTTCTGTCAGCACTAAGGTTAAAATAAGTAAGCCGTGCTTCCAGATGAGGTCGAGGGCTGGGGAGAAACTTTATACAGTGTGTGAAGTGTACAGACTTTACATACAGTACCTTTATTTAAGAGAGAAACAGCAGAAAACTACCGGGGTGGGGTTTAGCCATAGCAACATATTTGGTTCCTATGGTGGGATGCATTACCAGTCAGCCCTCTTAGACTGCATATTTATTTAATGTGCCTGAGGAGAAACATCAAATCTACTGAGCAGGAACACATTTCATCACCAGGCAGTTTACATTTCACCCACTCTGGATGTCTTCATGAGTGAAACAGTTAGTTCAAGAATAGACTGTGTTACTGCTGGTTTATAAATCACTTAACAACCTTGAGCCAAAATAAATTCAACTCAGATGTAAAAACTGTGAAGTTTTTTTTCAGTTACTGTGCTCCACACATTTTTTTAATCTAATTTAAAAACTCGGCTATTACATTTTACTACTGCACTGTGGATTATATCTTTGGTCTATTATCATATTTGTCTATTTGCATTTATGGTTAATTAAGATTTATATGTATTTACATCTCATTTAACTCTGTTTTGACTGATTTTATTATGTTTTCTTTGTTGTTAAATGTTGTTCTAATGCATTTCTTTGCTTTATGTAAAAAAAACTCTGCCTGTGCTGTACAAATAAAGTTCCCTTGCCTTGCTTTCCTTGCTGATTAGACACAAAAATGTACTTCAAGAACATACATGCTTTTAAGTCGTTAATCTATGTCTTTTGTTCTACATTTCTGAAACAATATCAGGCAGTCTGTACTGCCATCTGGTGTCTGAAATGTTCACCCTGCAGCGCCCTCTGGCCACACCCAAATACCACAACAGAAATTTTCAGAATTGTGTTTGACACTTACAGCCAAGTCACTATAAAGATGGTCTCCGAAGTAAAGAACTTTTGATCCTCGCCAGCCTGTCAGTCTAAGAAAGTCAAACAGGTTTCCCTGCAACACAAAAGAAAAAACCACACACCACCGGCTCTCCTCTTTAGTTCATCAAGACACAGAATACAACAAGTAAAAACATGGAACACTTATAACATGTATAAACACAGCTATCAACTAAGGAGAGAAAAAAGGCTTAGGATTAAAGGACCAGGAGGAGGCTCGAACATAAGGAAACTTTGTTTTCAGAGGAGTCAGACAGTAACACAGACCTGTTTGTAGATCTTCCCTTTGTCCAAACTTTTTATCTTTTCCCAGCGAAGGTCTCCATTACCATCCAGGAGTCTGAAAGGTCTGTAAGAGTAACAATGTCAGAGATTGTTCTCCAAACCAAGAAACTGAAGTGAATGTATCGAGTGTGATGTGATTGTTGAGCTCTGCTAAGTTTTGACTTTTGGACTTTTTCCAACTTATTTCTTCATCAGTTTCTTTCTCCAAAACATTTACTCACTTGATACAGTCCGTGAAGAAGTGAGGTTTGTCTGCCTGTACAATGACAACGTCAAAGAAGTCTCTCCAGTTTTTTCCCACCATGTGAATCATCCCTTTATCCCTGTGGACAGAAAAAAAAAACACACTGGTGTAACAGACTGCAGTAGAACTGTTTTCTCTCATTATGCGTCAGAGTGACCTTAGATCAGACTTACACAAAGCTAAAGGGGCTGTTGGTGATGAGGAAGAGTTTCTTTCCTTGATTGACCAGTCGGTGTAAAACAGCATCTGTTTCCTCTCCTCTCAGAATGAACTTATCTATGAAGAAATGGAAGGAAGTCTAAACGATAATGTCATTGAACGTGAGACAATATTCAGAGTCGACAGTAATAAGAAATAGATTTCTTACTCAGATCTTGCATGACCCATTTGTACATGTAGCCTTTGAGGTGAACCATGCCAATTGCTTCCTGGGGATTAAATAAGTGTTAGACAGAGGTAAAAGTTTTTCATAGCAGATCTGTGTTATTCAACACTTTCACGGTACTTTGCCCAATCTAACATCAAGAGCATTTTTTGCTGAGAGTTAGTTCCCAACTAAAGTTGCTCAGAAATAATTATGTGAAAATGCTGAAGAACCTGGCGTCAAGATTTCATATATTATGATGAACTAGTTACATGTAACAGGGGTATGTAATTAAATTACAAAATAAGTGTAATTGTAATCTGTTACAGTTAAAGAAAAAAAATGTGATTAAATTACAGTTGCTAATCAAGATGTAGGTGATTACAAAGGCAATTACATCCGAATATATTCTTTTCAGTAAAAAGTTTCTATTATATTTCAAAAGTAAGTTCCCAGCACTGCACGCTGTAGAGCCCCGTAACTGGAAACCTCAGCACCAAGAGGAGAGGCAGTTATTGTTCTTTGTTCTACCCATGACAGTCCTTTGCAAGCTTTTAACTGAGCTCAGCAGATTCGCGAGACTCCAGCTGAAGAATCACAGTATGTGAAAACTGTGTAATAAACTAGGTCTGTTTGTTTCTCAGTGTGAGCTACAGGGTGAGGACAGAACTAAAAACATGGGAGTGTAACATTAAACAGTGTGAGAGACAGGGGGCACACTCACTGAGACGTCCTTGAAGAGGTGAACCGGATCATATTCAATGTCATTGGTGATGAAAAAATCATTCGCCACAGCCAAGAGAGTCATCTCGGGGATGGAGAAGATGTCCATGAACTGCTTCACCTTTGGTCCCTGTGATAGAAAATATATTTTAATGCTTGATAAATACTCCTGCTCGTCTCAGAGGGGAGGCAGTAAAGGCTGGTAAAAGGAACATTTATTGTGCCTCTCTGCTCTTTTGAATGACTTCTTAATCACATTTAAAAACATTTTCACTACAACTTCTACCCACTAAGCCAAGTCCCCAGATCAGATTAGAGCCACGCCAAAATTATTTTTAATGGGACTGCTTCAAGGAGGATTAGAAGAAGGAGAGGCATACTTCCCGCTGCATGAAAACACTTAAAAGACCTGACAAACCAAAAACCATTATGTTCAAAACATCTGACCCCAAAATGCTCCTAATTAGGAAACAGGCCAGATTCCCCTTTGTGACCGTCAGACTCAATAGAGAGTTGTGCTTTTCCTAATTGTTTGGGTACAACTTGTAAAAAGCCTTAACTTAAAAACAAACAAGTTTGTTGGACACAGAGTTAACATGGTCAGTTTTTTAGGGAGTGGAACACTGCCTTTGAGCTGATTCATGACGACAACGGAACAAATGAGATTACAAACTTCACCATTGGGATTTATATAATAGTAAAGCCAAGCAAAGCCTGACATTTGAAATCTCTGTGGACGGTTACAGATTTAATCCTGAACTACGTCCCTGTTTGAGAGCGGTCAGATGAGATTATAACAGATGTGCTGGGCCCTCAGTGTTAAGAAGGTCTTTCTCATCTGTGCCAAACCAAAAACAAACATTCAGAAAATATCTGAGAGCAGAGTGCAATAACTGTGATAAATGTCAGGCAGCACTCTCCACCTTACAAACATTCAAAGTCACTGATATTTTACATATCTGATATAGTTTCTGCAAAAATTAAAACCCATCCACCTCACCTTTCCATAGAAGCCACTGTCCTGCTGCAGGGGGACATGGTAAGTCCCCCCAAAGAGCTGGAGGACCTCCTCATCTGGCACCGGGCTCAGGCCCCTGGAAACATCCAACATGAATGAATGCACTACAGCTTAGAAGCACACATAACACTATCAGACAGTGCAACTAGTGATTTTGCTCACAGCAGCAGCAGCAGCAGCAGCAGCAGGGATTTAGATAAAGAAGCTGAATAAAATGAATGTAGCACATATGGATCCAAACCAACAATTAAAGGTTATGGTCATGATTGTTTGGTGGGTAGCATTTCGGTGTAGCCGACTAGTTTTCAGCACAGCATCAACCTCTTACCGATACACTGTTCCTGGCTGGATGTAATGGAAGGCATCTATCTTCATCAGAAGACCCTTTTGTAAGATTTAAAAAAAAAAAAAGGGGTTTCAGTTGTGACTATCTCTTCAGGAAAATGTAAACACTTCTCTTCCTGCAATGGGGCGTTTGTGATTTAAAAGAATTTACCTTTTGGATGTCATAGTGAAGACCCCGAGCAGCAAAGTTGGGGATGTAATCATATTTGGAGATGTCCTCAGGGTACTGACAAGCAGGAGGACAAAGTATGTGAGTTCATCTGAATCTAAAAGCAGCTGTGATTCCAACAGGCTTGATGGAACTAGTGCACAACACACCTTGAAGTGTTCAATCAGGAAGCTTCTGGCTGTGTTGTAGATCATTGTGTTGAGTGCGTTGGAGTACAGAGCCAGCGTGTAGTCGTAGTCAAAGCCGTAGATGTCCACTTCAGCCAGGTTGACCTCGTTGTTGGCGTAGATGGTGGAGGAGTTAAGGAGGTTACACGCACCTGGTGGGATCAGGTCTGAGCCAGGGAGAGCAGATGGGGACACCCTCATTCAAATGAACCCAATACAAGTCAAATACAGATCACATCAGACAGATACCAGTGAGTAAGCGAAATGAGGGGACAAAACTTTTATTTGAGGTAACTAAGGATTAGGCCATTCACATTGTCTGACTCATATTTTAATGTAAAAGAAAATCCGTGTTATGATGAAACCTGCTGATTACGCACTTCTACAGAGGAAAGAAGTCATTCTACGGCTGTTTTCAATCTAGAGAGGCTGGCAGGCTAACCGGAGGTTGCATAATGTGCGCTCCTACGATGGCAACTGACTCTGCATTGAACTGAGTTGATCCAAAAAGAACATTTTGTCCAGACCTAAAATCAACAGTATTTAATAAACTGTATAGCTGAATGGGAAGCAGAACATTCATTACCCCTTGTAGTAGAGGTCATTGTCATTATTTACTTTGTCAGTTTTATAAGCCGCTATTTTGATAACAGCCACGCAGCAAAGACATGGACACAGATTAAACAAACAGTTCACAATCTGTGTCTGGAGTCTCTAATACCCTGGCTGGAATATGAGCGCAGGACAATGTCACTGTCTATAGGAAAAAGTGGGCCATGGCCTTCTGTCCTGGGACTGTTCAATGAGGGCTGCAGCTGGACAGCAGACATGCATGTACCAACCCGGTGATTAGTTTCCCTGCAGCCTCTGCTGCTGGAAATACCTCTGTTTTCCATGCTGAGTCGCATTTCAAAAGCGTAGACCTATGAAATTACTTGTCTAACCGAAAGTGCAAGAACAGCTTTAATTAAAACCCATTGGTGGAGAATTCATGCTTTGCACTTTGGCAGTTTATTCAGAGAAAAACTTTCATATGAATACTAAAGGAGAAAAAAAGTGCAGAATGAAAAGTGAAAACGAATATACAACATAACCAGTGGTGAAATGCAACCAAGTACGCATTTTTTTATTTCCTCTCCACAATATTTCAGATGAAAATATTGTGCTTTTTACTCCACTACATTTATCCTACAGATATATTTAATACTAACTTTACAGACTAAGATGTTACATTAAAACACATGATACGTTTACAAATGTTCATGCATTGTTACACATTAAACATCTAAGTGTATAGAAAGTAGCTAAATGAGCTCCTCAACCACTTACAACATTAAAATGCTGTTGATGAATGACAATGCATCAGTAATAATAAAATTCACACATCATAATGGCAATAAAGGGTCCACTTTGCTGCATAGTAAGAACTTCTATTTTTGATACTTTTAAGTACTGAGACCACTTTCTGTGGTCTCAGACTTTTGGACCCCACTATATTTTAATTATTTGCTTTGTTTACTTTTATTTAAGTTGTACAAGTATTTATGCTTATCTTGATGATCGTGATAAGAACCTGATTATTTCTTCCACAACTGTAAAAACACTAAAAGTAGAGCTGGGCCATATGAACAGAACAACAACAACAAAAACAACAACAACAACAACAACAACCAACTCAGAGAACAGTTTTGCAATGTCATCTGTTCAGTAAGCAACTTGACACCATTTAACTTAATGCTGTTATGAAGTTTGATCACACTTTATGTTTCAAATAAAAGTCCTGTATTTTCGACGTTTCATTTTGCAGGAAACTGTCATTTGGCTAAGTAGCCAACTAGCTGCTATGTCAAAACAGCTAACTCCTCAACTTTCTGTCAAATGTGGATGACATGACTTGCAATGATACTAAACTGGTGAACTGCTGAACCTGACTTCTTTCAGAATAAGATAAATTAACTGCTGGCAACGACTGCGACGTATCCTACAAGGTAGTGTTTGTCGAAAGCTAACGTGAGTTTGGGCTGTTTGACGTCGAAACAGAGGAAGACTTCATCCTGTCTTGTTGCTGACTTGTCGTCGTATTAAAACTGCTCACACTTCTTAAAACCGACAGCATTCATGTGCCATCTCTCTATCGACTATGCTCTTCGCAAACAGAATGAGCACAAGAAACCCCAGATGAACAAAATGTTTCTCTCTAACGGCTAAACACCACTGGTGCTGCGAACAGGGAGCCATGGTGACGTGGATGGCCTCACATGCTGCTGCTGAATGGGGGGGGACTTGGGAACAAGAGGAGGGGGCAACCTCTGCTTACCGTGAACCAGCCGTTTCATGTCATTGTAACGAGCCCACAGGTAGGACTTCTGGTCCACCGGAGCTGCGGTGCAAGTGTATGAGCGCCTTCTTACACCGGTAACACCAGGAGCGCGCACAGGCTCCTTGGATCTCTTCTTCTCCCCAGTCGTACATCTGTGAGGAGACTCGCTGAGTGGCTGCACGTCGTCACCCGGCCTGTCTGGGTCCGAGCCGCAACTTTGCTCTTTTGTTTTTTCGGTGCCCTGCTGTCTTCCTCCAGGCACCCTGCTTGAGGTAGAAAGTCTGTTAACTTTAGTGGCTCTAGCAACAGGAGGAGTCCTATTTCCTCCAGTCCACAGAGTGCGGCTCAAAGCTGTGCCCACTGTCTTCAAAGACATTTCTACTGCATAAAGTAAACACGTTCAAAAACTGCTGCAGCGGCAGACCGTCTCTGATGACCGCATGAAAACATGCCCTTGTCTTCAATGTAGCCACGCCCATCGTAACCACGCCCCAGGGTTTAAAGGGGAGGGTCTGTAGTTCCTGTAAACAATTATAATAGTGATATCTGTGATCATAACGGATACCTATTTACATGGGACGAGTGTTTTCTTCTTTGTTTTCAATAACACATTGTAAAAAATACTCCATTACAAGTATAAGTCCTGCATTGAAGTTACAAAGTACGAAGTAACAAAGTAAAAGTATTTAAGAAAGTTTAGCAAAATGTATTCAAAAGTAAAAATACTCAGTGCAGAAAGAGTCCCTGTGTGTGTTATATTGTGAGTACCATACTGTGAGTGTTTATAGCATTTTACTTTAGCAGTGGCTCATGATGGAACTACTCTACTTCATCTACTCCTTGATAGATTAATCTCTACCAATGCATAAAATTTTATGAACATGTTTTCCTGGAAAATCTTTAAAGTAACTAGTAACTAAAGATGCAAGTTGAATTTAATGGAGTGAAAACAACAATAGTTGTCTCTGAAATGTAATGGAGTATAAGTAATAAAAAAAGGAGATACTCAAGTAAAGTAGTAGTACATTTAGTCAAATATACTTTCCACCACTGTGAGAAACAGGACATTAAATCACACACGTTTTTTTATTAATTGTACTGGTTACTTATTTTAATGTGTAATGGTTACAAAATTCCAATTCCACAGAACCTGAAGGATAAGTGCCCATGTTAATAGTCAACCTCAACAACAGGAGTTCTAGTGTGATGGGCATAAATTCCCACAATCCTATGAAGGTGGTCTTTGAGATACTCAAGACCTTTGTTTTTATAAAAAAAAAAAAATAAATAAACCAACCAGATCAGATTTTAAAAACCCTCACACATCAACCATCATTCATCTAACTCTATGAAACACACAAGAAAAACAGAGCTTTAGTGGGTAGTTGTAGTACCTGGTAGCCTGTACTAGAAATTCTAAAAGAAGATATGCTAAAGCCATTTTGTCAACACGAGAAATCTTGGGATCCTCAGCAAATTCCTGAATGTGATATATCCCTTAGTTGCTTCTCATTGACTTCCAACACTCTCAGTTGACATTTTGAATTGCCATAAGTACTAAAACTAGTTTCAGTGGATAAAACAAAATGTTCCCATCTAAATCAAGAACAATGAAATGTCTCTATTTGGAAATTTTGAAAATTGTCATTCTTCATGAAACCTTTATTAAATATGTGTATGAACTGACAAAGTTAAAAAGCAATGTGTAAGAACACATACTTCATGGCCAAAGGTTTCTAAATAGACTGCTGTTATATTTATCTTAACTTCTGACTGGAGCTCTGGAGTTTATCAAACCTGCTCTATCTTCTGGTTGCAGACACAGGCCCAAGTAAATACTAACCTTGGAAGGTCTGCTGAAAAATACATTATTCCATGCTCAAGGAATTGCTCTACAACAGACAAAGAAGCTTGATAGTCTGATGTCTCTAAATACTTTGGAGAAATTTAGAAGTCATTTTGGGCTTCAATATTTGCTGTAAATATTTCAGACAAGAGGTTATACTTTGAGTGATTATTAACTTTGCATTGTGTTGCACTTGGTTAATTCTTTGCTTTGTTTACCTGCAATTTAAGTCTGATTACTTTTTGTTTTAAAATTTTAAATGTGTAAAAGATGGCTCTTGTATCCATGTACAGAGTGCTGTTTTTATTATTTTGTGGGCCTGTATCTTTAGATTAGAATAGATTATCTGCAGTGGATTGAAAAAAACAACCCCCCCCCCCAAAAAAAATGAATCATAGATTTGCGCAAGTTTAATCATGTCCTCACCCCATGCCATCCGATAATCTGGTTGTGTCACAGTTTAGCTATCCAGGATGGAAATTCTGTTATTAGTCATCAAACTGCTCAGCTGAGTCACATTTATATGACTCTGAACAACAAAGCCCATTTAAAATGTGCAGTAGGGATCTTCATTTTGATTTTTCTTCTTGTAGACTGGTAGCCACCACTTGTTAACCAACCATTAACTGTTAACTGACAAGATTAAAAGATACTATTTTAAATTCATGAGGTTATTATAAAAAGCAGAGGAGCTGAAGCACTTCTTGATCGGTGCGGAGAAATACACTTGATGTGAACAGCCAGGCCACTGTTCGCACAACAGAGTTGGACTGGCATGAAACTTCAAGATAAAATAAACAGGTCTACCTCAGTCCTCAGCACAGGTTGTCCACTGGTTTTTATTCAGAAACAGCAACATGTCCACATGCTGTGGGGTTAGTTTGGTGCGCAGTCTGTTTTCTCAGGATACTTTAACTGATAGCATTAATTCTTCTGCAAATTTCTTATTATTGTGTAACAGTCAAGCAGTTAATTATGAACAATGCTGGTGTATACTGAAATTAATTATGCAGTATGCTGCTTAATTCAGTTTTTGAAGGTAGCAATTGCACTACTGGGCGCCGTTTATTTTATCATTTTCCTCCCTACTAGAGAAGATAATCCATTAAGATTTTAGAATGGGCACTTACCATCACACACCACAGAGCGCAAATGTATTTATCAGCAACTTTACATAAAAGAATAGCAGTCTGCTGTACAATCCCATATAATGACCTGAAAGCATCTCAGAAATCTATGTTACACGACTAATGCTGCGTGTTAACTCGAAAGACCACAGTCTCACTCAGTGTTGGCTTGTTTTTATTCTTCATGACAAAAGTGGTTCACAGGTCAATGAAAGGTCAACTTGCATACACATAAAAAGTTGAGGACCACCAAATGTGTTATGCGGAGTGTGTGCATGTCGTCTTCTAGAACAATTTACACAGTATGCAGACCACATAAATACAGTTAAAATATTATACAACAATGGTAATTAAATTATACACACATCTGCACAGAGAATTAAATAGACCAAAAAAATCCATTTACAACCTTCAAAGCAATATGACATTAGGTTAAAGTATTTTCACTTTTATTTGTTAATGAACAGTCAACCATAAACAGTCTAGCTCCCCCTTGAAGACCCAAATATTATCATTTTTAAAACATTATTGTAACAGTGTACATACTTTTTGATGTTATGCTTTCTGTATTCATAATATTTATACAGTAACTTGTCTCAGTTCTCTAGAATAAATAAAGATGGTGACCGTTAATACAGCAGTAAGCTCATGTCAAATTATTCATTAGTTAATACTAATGAGTTCATACAAGGCATGCTAGCTAAAAAGTGAAAATATTTTACCAAAATGAGATATCCCTTTATTCAGTGCTAACACTGCTCAGCGAGTTTCCTCAGAAGCAGATAAAACATACCTTCAAAAAAAGAAAAGAAATCACAACTACAGTGTTGAAGTAGCCTCTATTTAGAAAATGTGATGTGGTCTAAAACAACAGACAAGATCAAAACCAAGGCACTAAAAATAATAATTAAAAAAGAAATCAATCAGCAGGATGTGGCCCCTTTTACTAAACCACAGGACAGTTGAGCTTTAAAAAAAAAGTGATGCCAACATTTTCTTCAGTTCTGATTTTTCAAACATCCGTTTCCAAATGTGTTCTAAAGATCATGATTGATCACATCAGATCAATTCAATTTGAATTTAAACTGCACTCAATCAGACAGGTGTTGTTACAGTGCCAATGTTGACATATGCAATGATGTCCTCAAATCAAAGCCTGGCATCAAACTACTCTATAAGCGACCCATGTTCTGGCTATCATCGAACATGTGCGTACATCCACAATAAAAAAGTGTATTTTTCTTTCTTTCTTTTGTTTCTCTTCTTGTTTTGAAACGTTTTAATTTCTTAAATTTATTTATTTATTTATTGTTGTAAGTTATAGTGGGTTGCTAGATGTAAAGCACTGTGTAATGCTTTTAACAATTATGGGACATTATTGTTATTTCATTTCATAAGCAGCAACCCTAACAGCAGCTTGCCAGCACTATTAGCATTCCTAACTGAAAACAATGGATGCTTTAGCCACAGGAGAAGAAACTAGCTTGCTGTCGGTAACACTACTTCATTACAACATGCTTACTTTGGTAGCACACATGAGTATGGTGACATTAAATGATGATATACAAAACATGAGGATCGTTGCTAAGCTGGAGTGAGAAAAGCAGAAGCAGAATGGGAACACTTATTATAACTTTGTAATTGACAGAAATGAGCATGGCCCAACAGGTTAGTATTAGTTCTAAGGAAAACCAAGCCAGTTGAATTCTTGAGTTATATAAGACAGTGTCTTTTAAAACCCACAGCTAAACACGCAGATGAGTACATTATTAGCCAATGGGATGCTTGCACTTGTGCCACTATGCACCCCCAGATGAATTCCCAAAGCTAATTATTGTGAGAGATGCTAAATGGCTGTTGTAAAATTACTGCAGCCAGCCACTGTTGACTGGAAGCGAAGGTAAGTTTCAAAACCCACCCTGATTCTAAAGAACAGCAGGAAGAATACAGGCACTGTTCTGACTTGGTCTGCATAGTTTGCAAAGTAAGATGCACATTAAAGATCTCCCAAATCATGTCTCTAAATACTCGGTGTTTGACCTGAGGTGGTGAACTTATGGCTGATCTATTTCCATCAATGAAATGGCGTGTTTACTGACCTCTAGTTAAAGGGTGTGGCTGAAGCCATAGAGCCAGACATGTCACTGGATAAAAAAGGGCATGTAACTGCACCACCAGTAATAGGGAGAAACCTCAAGACTATAGCAAACGTTTTACTTTTAGGATAGCAATTATTTTAGTAAGGCTGCATTGTTCTATAAAATCACTACCTGGGACATCTATCACAGATGATTTAATAGCTTACAGACACTAAAAGACGCAGGACAGGCCTGACTAGGATGCCAGACTAAAGGCAAGAGTGTAAAGATATACAGCCTTAAAACAGATCATAGCCTTGAATCAAAAGACAGTAATACTGTACAGGAAAAGTCTCATTCTGGAATAAATACTGTCAGTGGTTCCCCACAACAC